TTATTTTTTTGATTTCACATACAAGATGTAAATTGTACTACAATTTTAAAAATTCAATATTACATAATTTCTACAAATTGTGTTTTATTTATCAGAAAAACTACTCCTAATAATCACCCGGTATTGAACGCAGAGAACCAAAATAAAAAATCAGAAAAAACTATATTTTTACAAGAACAATTATATATCATAATTATTTTAACTACAGAATTCTCATTAATTTTTGAAAAGTTTAGGAGTATGAGCCTCTACAAGCATTGAAATCTTCTGGAGATCTCAATGCTGAATATCACAAGAAACTTTTGAACATCAATTGGAAGTCTAATGGTAAACTTGTAAGAAATTCAACTTTAACATACACACAAAGTTTTGTAATACAAACTTCATCAATTTTTGAATTGTTAATTACTTTTCAAGTATTTAATGAAAAATGTAGCATAATTTAAAACAGTAACTTGAAATTAATGTAATAGCCCTTTATCTTACACTGAAATTTCATGAGAAAATATACTTAATAATACAAAACAATATAGGACAAAAATGTTAATTATAACTTGTACACAATATAATTTGTAAATAATATTGTGTGGGTGTATATACGTGAGGTAAATTATTATTTTACTTTGATTCGACAAAAAATCAAAAAGGCATAAAAATATATGATCCGTCTAGGAAATAGCAAATAAATAAACACATAAATACTATAAATATCTCTAAACTTTTCAATTACATTATTGAAAACATACACATTCTCTTCTTGAAAAACAAGTTAGTGTATATGTACGTTCGGAAAAATTAAAAATTAACTTAAGTCTTTTACTTTTATTTGGTGTATTGCTTAAAAGAACCAACTCATATGTCTCAACATCAATTATTTGAGTATACTAGCTGAACCGACAGAAGTTGTCCTGTACCCATATCTACAACTCAAAAGTTCCTATTTTGTTTAATAACCTATACTGATATTTACCTTTTAGTTAAAAATTAATGTTTTTACACAAGTCTATACCAATCTGTCAAATTAATTTATATAATTTTATCTGCCAAACATATACTGTATCTTATATTATTTTAATTTCTGGCACATCTCGGCAGCTTTTTGGCAATAATAATGTAGACATTACATTTTTCTTATTCATAATCATAAATATATCATATTGTAACATTGTCTAGGATCATAAATGAATTGAAATTTCTGGCAGGTGACAGTTCTTATTTGTGAAAGTATTATCAATGTCGCAGAATGACATTTTTTTGAAATTTCTACAATATTACTATTTCTATCATTTACATCATTAAAATTTTCCTTAACTAACTTCAGAAATATTGATCAAAATCCGAATAATCATTTAGGAGATCTTTACAGAAGAATTTTAAATATGTATATATATATATATATATATATATATAAAGAATATTGGAATTAATACTGAAATTGTAAATATAAAACTATAAGGTTCATTCTCTCGTTTCTATATAAATTCTCTCAAATTAGAGATTATTGATTAACCAAAAACTATGTTAAATGATAACATTTTAATTATTCACCATGAAATTTAATTAATCAACAAATTTTGATATAAAAATAAATTTTATGTACAATAACCCCATGTTTATAGCGCTATATAACCGAGTTCTACCTATACAGATACCTGTAATCCGCAAGTGCTGTACCGACTGTAACACAGACTCAAGTATTTCCTGTTAGAACATATATAACAACATTTATATGTATATATAAGACATAATATAAAAATTCTTTTTCTCTATCTTATTATGTCTCGCTCTCAGAACAACCTGCCCAAGTAAAGGCCAGGTTCAGCCAAACCTGACCGTCGATTCTATTCTAGGTGTGTGTTCGTGCACCTGTGTGAATGTATTGCTCGAACGAATCTGAAACGACTTTTGATTGTGTGAAATCGCTGTTCCGGCACACGTACACATCGAAAAAATGAGTCTATTTATAGGCGAATAAATAAAAATAAATTTAGAAAAATCACATGAGTGTATAATTTAATTTAGACCCATCTTGGAATAACGGTAGAAATGCATTGTTTGTTTGTTGGAATTGTAGAAAATGAAAAAATAACTAATAGGTACAACAATCTACGTATTTATTTGTGCGTTTTGAATTTGGTTGATATTGGCATAATCAAGATAGTGTAATAAATTTATCTGTATCTTTAAGAGATACATAAATTTGACGCATTGGTTTGACAAAGTGGAAATTTAAATTATTTTTCATTTAATAGAAGAAGATTTTAAGACACTTATTCAATCTTGCTCTAAATTATGGCGATGAATACTAACTGATAGCAGAGAAAAAGCAGCGTAAGATTATGTCATGATCATGAAAAAATTAGCAACTAAAAATTTACCAAAAATCATTTCGAATCATTTAAGAAAATACTATTTAAAAAATAACAACTGAATACCGAATATAATTTTATTCTGATCTTTATCTCAAAGATTAGAATATATCAAATTTCTTAATTTGCTGATAACATTAACTGAACTTGTAGAACAATTCTATATGAGCAAAAGTAATGAATGAATAATATTCCATTTTAAAGTGTCAGCAATGTTACTTTCGTCTCCTAGCTTTCAAACGATTTGCTATATTTGCTGATAGACCCAATAATATAAAGTTTTCAAATAGATAATTATAATCACTATATGTTTTATCGTTCATAAAATATACAGTGACGATCTTATCGCTCAAAACACTTAAGAAAGTTTACATTAGCAAGAATAAATCCATCTGAGGATATATTTCTTACGATTAGAATAAGGGATTTAAAATATAAACATTTTCAGTAAATTTTAATTCATATTTGAAGTATAAAATTTTGTATATTTTTGAAAATTAAAAAAAAATTCTAAAAGATTTGCTTGATCTGTATAAGTAAACTTTAAAAATTAACAATCGTTGGCACGGAATACAATATAATTGTAACAAAATTAGTACTCATTTTTAAAAAAAATATCAAATCCATTATATCAATTCTACATTATCCAAATATCAATTTTGTTTTACTTTTTTCTTTTTATGTCTGAAACCGCTAGACCCGTCTTACCAAAAATTTCATCAACTCTATTTCGTCAATACAAGTAACATATTTTTTGAATCATTCAAATCGGGTACTCCGTTCTCTCAAAAATTGAATTACTGTTTATGGCACGGATCTTCGAAACGGCTGAACGTCTCTGCACCAAAAACTAATCAGTATGTCTTCTCGTCAGTAGGAATCGAATGTTTTTCGAATCATTCAAATCGGTTGATTTGTGAGCCTGAAATCGTGGATGAAAAATTGTATCCAAACATACACACACATCCATTTTTTCTAAGGTATGCCAAAATGTTCAGAAATCTTCAAAACGACAAGATAAAAAAAAAAAAATTCATTTTCGATTTTTTGCGATTACTATAACTTACCCCAAGGTAAGTTAAAAATGTATAAATAGAAACTAACAATATGATAAAAGATTTTAGTTAAGACACATCGCAAATAAAAACGTAAAATTTGTTACCACATCAAATAATCACAAATAAGATTCTTCTCCATTGGTAAAACTAGATGTGAGGTGAGGGTCTTTAATAAAATTATCTAATTTTTTTTTTTTTTTTTGTAATTTTCTATTGAATAGGTACGTTAGGTACGTTGAGATACCTGATTCCGTTTTAAGTACCAATTCAAAGTACATATAGATCTTATTAAAAATTTGGAAAAAACGCATCATTTGACTTTCGGGTAATTTTAATCTTAATTTTGCATTATTATTAAATATACAGAAAACAATGGAAGCCATCCTTTGAAGGTATTCGAAAAATTGTATCAATATACAATATTATAAATATAACATAATAAAATATATCATAAAGGATTATGTTTATTTAATAAAATTAATATAGAAATTGGGAAATAAACTAGTTATAAATAACATCAGAGTAAATGACAATATAGTAATTATCAAAAAAAAATTAATTTTTCACATTAAAAAAGAGCTGTTCAAATTAATATAGATAAGAATTAAAATAGGAAAGAACTAGTAGAGAATATGGCATTCTAATGCATTTTAGCAGTTACGAGAAAAAAAATGATTTTTTAAATTGAAAAAAAAAATGTTATCAAAACCAAATTAATGGTTGAAAAGTTGTCATATTTCTGTTGAAAATATAAAAATATACAAATAATCAATCGATAATATTTGCGTTAAAATCAATCAATTTCAATGAGAAAAAGCATGTTGCGCATTTTTTTGTAATCCTCTGACTGATCATTCCGTTTGCAACAAAAGCTCCACAGTTTATTCACAACTCCCACCAGCTTCTCAAAGTGTTCGGTTGTGTTGGTGACGGTCACCACCACACCTCCGAATCATCATTTTCATACTGTTACTAACACTTGAGCAATTTCAACAATTTTTTCATTCTGTGATGGAAGTGGTAAAACGCGATTCTCGGCCATATACCTGTGTCGGTAGAGCAAAACAGACACATCGGCGAAAAAGAGACGACCAGAATCCAGTCAACAGAGAGTTCCATCCAACACTAACAAAGAAGGTAACCTGTACACAAAGCAAACTCAGGTACGAAGAACTAACACTAGCAAAAGCAGCAGAAGAAGTTGAAGTTCGCTGTACGCCTTGAACAAAATTAGAGGCCAAGTTTAGTACGTACGCGGACACCGTTGTGAACAGATCGGAAATTAACAGTTACAAACGTTACAGAACATTTTTTTATTTATTTATTTTATTTTTCCTCCAAGTTCCGCGTAACAGTGTTTTCCTTAATTTCACTCAATCTTTCCCATCATCCTTCATGGATAGAACAATTCATTTCAGTTTTGATAAGCTTAGAAAGTGTCGTGACAGATTCGGTTACCAAAATGGATTATCTTTGAATTAAAATTGGACGTAAACTCATTGTGCAATATAGTGTGTGTTGTATACCAAATTTTTGGTTTATATATTGATAACTTTTGGGATAAAAGTGCAGAGTGTGAAAAGGATTTTTTGAGGATTTTATGTGATAAAATTTTGACAAGATGCCGAAGATATTTTTGATTAAAAATCGCTTGCATCAGCAACAGTTGCGTTTGCTGGAATCGCAGAAGTCATCCGGAGATGAACTGCTTGATTGCAGGGAGCCAATATCCCTAGTCGCCAGGAAGAAAGAAGGTTTGTGAAATATTTATTTACCCTACAAAACTACAGAATATATAATTAATAAACCACAGTTACTGTTTATTAATAGAGTAATTATTTTTAAAAAAATATCCATTAATTTTGTCATACTTAAGTATCCAAAAAGTTCTGAAATATATTTATATTTTTGCATATCGATACTTTATTAATAAATAAGAACTGAATTAATTTTTATTTGATTTAAATCAAGGTAATTAGAAAATAATCCACAAAAGCCATCATTCAACGCAATACTTGACAAAAATAAATATCTTCAAATATCACGGAAATCAGAAGCTTCCAATCACTTTTCATGTAATATTGACATGATTTCAAATGTTATTACTTATTACAACATGTGTTACATATAAAAACTAAAAACAGTAAACCAAATTCATTCCCGAAAATTATTAATATTATTAAAACTGCAATAATAAACGAGATTCTACTTCTTAATTACCATTGACATCAAAATACATGAAACAATATCATGCCATAAATAATTTATAAATATCACTTAGTTTTTTTTTTTTAAATAATAGCTCAGCATTTTAAATATTTTGATAAAAAATAAAGGAGCTTAATTTTTTTCTTCTACTATTATACCACATATTTCTGGTGAGCAATTTTTATCATTATGTTACATCAATCCTGCAATAGAAAACTGGTTGACACTTCGCAGACGTACAAAAACTTGCACTAATATGTGGCCTGTCATAACAAAGAACAACCGTAATAATTTCAGAATGACGCATTTTATTTGGAAAGATTCTAAATCCTGAACTCTGGATCCCAAGAATCTCTTTTTTCTTGGAAATAACACATACTTGATAAATTCTTATAACGGAGTTTCATACCTGGAGCAAAAATATACACAAAATCGAACCTTTCGGATAAGATGATGTATAAAAGAATATAAATTTATGTAATGGGAAAGTTATTAGCTAAAATATTTTGAAATGTGTTGGAGATAAAGGAATTAAGAACAGTAAATCAACTTTTTTCCCCAAAAATAGGTTTTATATTTTTACAAGTTGAAAAAGTTATTTTGAAAAATATATTTGCTAAATTAAAATTATGTTAGTAGTGCTAGTTGTAGAGGGTTTTTACTGAAATTGCTGAGAAAAGCCAGAATTCACAAAAGTCACGTTCTGCGGAGCATGACGGCTGAAGACAATCATTTCCTTACATTTTATTTGTACAAAAACAATTCTATTTCAAATGGGTTTATACCTCAAACTAGCTGTAATATTTGTGAGTTCAAAATAATAAACATTTAAAACTGAATGTTTAATCAACTGATTCAATTTTGAAATATGACAATCACTAATGATTATCTTTTAAAATAAATACAATCTCGCATATATCAGTTTAAATTATATGCTACAAAGTATTGCCAAATGAGCAGGACATGTATATACCCTTCAGAAACCATGAATTAAATTTACAAACTGATGGCAATCTCGATGACCATCGACAAGTATTAAAAACTAATCAGCTTTGAGCATTTATTTCCAAAACATAAAATGATCGCGTGCCACGAACAGCAAACCAATTTATTCTTGCTTTATTATTATTATTTTGGCAATGTGCAAAACTTCAAAAGGTCTTCTGCTCTAATCGTAGATAAGACGAGAATTTTTTTATAAACACCTGCCTTTTGATAAAAGCTGATGGTAAAGTGTTTTTTATTTTTCTAAAATTGTTATCTTGCGTTGATTAAAGTTTCGCAATAATTTTGATTAATTATTTGATTCGTTTTAGTTCAAAATGTTTGAATTGGCTGTATTTTACATTAGCTAGATTAAATAAAATAATTGTGTGAAGCAAGCAAATAAATCATTTTGAACATATTGTAAAATGATGTTTCCTGAATATTTTTACATGTAATTGCTGATAGTTATCAATTCTTACGTAAATTTACAAATTTTCATTGCCAACACAAAACTTCTGATCAAATAAGAGCATCATTAATTAAACAGGGAAACATTTTGTTTATACATTATTCAGTTCTCGTAACATTTGATGAATACTAACTAATACTTTAAGTCTAATTAGAGCAAATTACTTGAACTCTGATTGCATAATTTCCTAAATCTTGCACCAAATGTTCAATTGTACCAACACATGGCTTCCACAAAAACCAAAAAAGTACCCATTCTTTAATTAACAATTTTATGCAAATCCTGAATACTTTCAGTGTTTAATTAAAATAATTACAAATACTTTCGGACGATAAGTAATTACACGAATTAAATTTTACGCGGGTTCAATGCTCAGCGCACTGTCGGAATCTCCGATGGTCACATGGTGTACTTTTCCGGTAAAAAGCTCTAAGTTTAAAAAGCTCAAAGAATATAAATCAGATTAAATTATTTATTCACAAATATATTTCTTATATCTGTAGAAACGTGGAAAATTCATATTTATTTAAAATGATAAATTATTTTTCAAAAATAATTCATACGACTTCAATAACCAAAAAACTTAAAAAGAAGCTGTAGAATAAAAACGGCTAGTAGCAAAATTGACAGGTCGTATTTCATAATTAATTTAAATAAATAATAAATAGTGTAATTTTATCTTTTTATCTAAATAATTTTAAAAACTAATCAAAATAATAAAAAAAGCTTATAATACGCCAATTTTTTATAACATACAAGAAATAAATAACTGTATCATCTTTCCATGAATACAATAACAATTTTATTATCTTTTTAATTTAAGTAAGTATTCTCTTATTGCCAAATAAAATAGATACTTTTTCTATTATTGCTGGCAATATCGGTCAGCCACAATACTATTTACTCTATTTTTTTATAATAATGGCAAATTGCACATGCGGTTGGTGTACACAATAATACAAAGCAAAATACCTGTGTACCTGCCACAAACATATAATCACGGCGTGTTATTACCGGCGGCCCAGAATTTGGTACTTGCGATTAGTCTGAGAGTTAATCATCCATTTATTCATTAAAAGAAAACTAGTATTTGTTCAATGATTTGAAACATTTGACATTCAATTAATAAATTTACTTATTATTGCACATATTTATTTCTATGAAATTGAGAAATAAACTTTGGAAGAAAATCTCCTTTTTTATGAATAATATTAATATAGTGTTTATTTAAACTATTTATTCGCGCCAAATCAAAGCGTGCGATTATATCGATACAAACAAAAAATCATCAATCCAAAATCATATAAAAAATCAATCAATACGATATTAAAAACATATTGAAATTATTGTAAATACACTTATAACTTGTAAATAATATAAAATAATTATATACAGTTATAATTAAAGTATTTTAAAATTGGTCCTTCAAAATTCAATCAATCAAACCATTAAAAAAAACATTGGTCCTTCGAGCCGGATTTGACATCCAGTAAAATTTAATACAAAAAACACTATTATATTTGAATATACCATAAAAAATAATATAATTAATTAAATGCAAATATTTCAAATGGAAATATCAAACAAAAGTACGCCTTAAGTAAGTTTAAGTATTTACACTAATTTTACCAGGATATTAAAAAATAATGATTCTGATTACAAAATTCTTAAAAGTACAATACGAGTACAGGACCATTATAAATATAATGTCGTCTTCAACAACAAGTGCACAATATTTATAATAAAAATGCAAAATAAAATTTGTGAAATACCTGGAAATATATTTTTAGAGCTATATCTAAATTAATTCACTAGTTATTAATAAAAAACAAAATATTAAATAAAAATCAATATATCTAATTTTGGATATCAAAACGAGTTACAATCTATTAAATCAGATTAGACAAATCTTATAAAACTTATTGATGAAGTCTAACCAACATTTCGATATTTAAATATAAAAATTATTTATCAACAACATAAACGCCTTTTATTTTTACATATTATGTATAACCTATGGAAGCTAAATTATAGAAACGTTGATTTTCAGATTTTGAACTATGTTTTTTTTTAACAAAATATTAGGTTGTCAAATATCTCCCTTCCGCTTTTTTGCTCTTGGTTTATAATACAAAAAGGCGGAAGGGAGATATTTGACAACCTATTATTTGAAAACGATTTACTATATCTACTATTTTTTTATACTATTTATCGTACATATAGTTTCTTTAAAACAAATTAATTTCTTTGATATGTTTTTGTAAATAGTGGAATGTTAATTTTGTCGTGTATCAATATTGTTGAATGCAATTATTTATCAGCAAATCTGTAAGTTTGAATAAAATTGATATTACTGATAAATAATTTACATGTATATAAAAATTCATTAAAAGTAAATTATCTCTATTTCTTTCCACCAGCTCTTCAATTTCTATCATACTTGTTCTTTTATTATTATTTAAAATTCTAAAGATCCTTTTACGTTTTTTCCTGTTGCGATTTATTTTCGGCGATACTCATCTGTCAGCTGGCGGCACCTGCTGACTTTTTGGCAACGATTTCGGCGCAACCTGTGCCCATGCACGCCTCTAGTGGGGCAAATTAGAGCCCGAGGTTACAGGTTTCTAAACCGAAAAAGATAAAGGAACATGCGAATCGCAAAAACCCCTTTTCAGATTTTATAATACCTATACCGACTTCCTAATTAACATTAATATTATAACTTGGCGGCAGATGCACGTCGACGACTTTGATTAATAAATTTATTGAGCGTGATTACAACCAGGTTGCTAATTGATTTTCTGAATAAATTTTTATAATAAATGCGTGTAGATGTATTTATTGAATGTATATGATACGGGACGAAATTACCAACAGGTGATATTTATTTTATCTTTTGTAAAATTATTTATTCTTTTTCAAAATATTGTATTTTTGGTAAATTCATTGGTTAGTAAAAAAATTGGTTTTCAGAGATTTTTTCAAATTTTGATTTTAATTTTAACTTTTTTCAAACTCAAATTTTAATTTTAACTTTTTGAATAGATTAGAATATACAAATATCTCTAGATAGTTTATACGCCAAGATTCAAAAATATTAATATTAAAAAGTTTAAAGTTTAAATAATTAAGGTTTTGGGCATCTGCTAAATAATTTATAGTTGGCAGCCCAAGTTGGCTGTGGTATAAATCGATTAAATAAATTCTGATTAAATACGTTATAATAAATCAATAATTGCAAGAAGATTCTTAGAATTATGAATTATTTAAGAAAAAATAATAACAAAGATTATATAAAAATAATAATAACCGATGTACAATAAAAATAATAATAAATACAAAGAAATTAATAATAATTAGAACATTTAATTTAAGTTATGCAGAAGTCGTTTATCAATTTTGTATGTAAAACTTTTTTTTCGTTAACAACTATTAAGATTGATGTTTTTTAAACTATATCACAGAAAGTACCATAAATAATCTACATGAATATTTTTGGAACAAAATACATAATGAAATAGCTGTTACGTTTTATTTAATTTATATATATATATATATATATATATATATATATATAATGAAATACAAATTTCCATTTCTCCTCAGCTAATTCAGTTCTCAAGCTGTTTTACACACTGATTACATTTGCATACGTTTAGCATGTGCATAATTAATTTTGTAATCAATTAATACAATATACTTTTAATGAACCATTGTACAGTTGTTACACACATGTGTAAATTGTTTTCATTTCAGGTTTGTTCATTTTTTGTTTAAAAAAAATTGCCTGGTTTCAAAAGATGTTCTATGATTTTTTTCTGGGCCACAAAACCACAAAAACAGAATGCTTTAACGAAAAGGCAATTACTAGATTTTTTTATTGCTTCCGAAATATAAACGCCATATGTCGAATCTGAAAAAAGCTTTGTCAGTTTTTATTTAAAAAATAATTTGAAATTAATATACTTTGCAAAGAAAGAATATTTTATTTTGAAAATATGGTATGCATTTTCATCATCTTCAACTTAATACGTATATTTTTGTATTTTTTTAAAATATCTGTAAAATAGAATAGATTCAATATAGATTTTACATTTGCAATATGTCATCAATACTCAAATACATCTTTTGTATAGATAACTAATTCACAAATACCGTTATTTGAATAACAAACAATAAACGATAATTTATGCCATTTTACAATCTGCTGCATAATAACCTCATATTTCACAGGCTCCAAAATATCAACATTTGAATATTATATGTGTAGTTGACAAATGAAGAGATACGAGTAAAAACTAGAAAAATTACGTAATTCCTGGTTCCATTAAAGAGCAATATTTAAGCAATTCTGCGTGAAGTTTTGACATAATAAAAAACGATGTATGTTTCTCAATCTTTAAAGGTTCAAGCCATTCATTAGCAAGTTTAAAATATTTTTGGAAACGTTAATTAAAATGTTAATTATATTCGGAAAAACCATTTCTCCATGTACATCGTTTTGAATATTATTTGTTTGTATAGTGTTTTACAATACCACGGACGCAGAGTTGTTGTCATAGTTCAAAATAACTTATTTTCATATATTATTGAAAAACATGCTCGGTGGTAGTGATATATGGTTAATTATTTTCACGTGGTTGTTCTTTTTTTAAATTTGCAATAGCACGTGTTAAGTCTTCCACTACTCTTAATATTTAAAAAAAAAGATTTTGAAAGTAGGTTACAAAACAAAGATACATACATACATACACACAAAATTGTCATCAGCTATTACAATATTAAAGCAGAATTAATATTGTATTTAAATTAAAATTTTAAATTTTCAAGGAGTAATAAACGACTTGTTTGGCAAATCAATGTTTTAGATTAATTATGAAAATCTTATAAATTGGCATGGTGAATTTTAGCAATGGATAATCATCAATGAAAAACACAAAAATAAAATAATCGTATAGTATAGATGTATAAAAACTATTTGATCTAGTAGCGATATCTATTATTGTCGAGCAACATTGATGAAAATGATTAACTCACCGAAATAATTTTAAAATATCATAAAAAATATATTTCAAAATTTTTTTGAGCCTTGAATATTTCAGCTAGAAAAATTATTGTAATCTGAGACAAAACAATTACCACTTGTCTAAATTTTAAGAGAAATAAAAAATTTATTTCACCTCTGCTTTTTTCCAGCGAGGTTTGAGAATGCTATTATTTGAGGGTTCCAAACAACTTTAAGAGCCTGAGGATAATGATAATTATCTACCATTGACATTTACTATTTATATTATAATTTAAATTCTATCATTTCCTCTATCGGTTCAGCTAACAGCAACAAGTACAGTTTGGAGACTCATTTTAATGTTTCGTACGTAAAAGAATTTCAAGGCAAAAATATTCGGCAGTCTTTGAACGAGCTTACAAACATTTTCTTCTATGTATGAGTGGTTATTTTTTGACTTAAGTGATAATTAAAGCGTGCATGCTCACAAACACCAACGATACCTGACATGAATATGTATTAATGTGATTTTGAAGAGATTGTGTAAAAATAAGGCCTTGACTGCGGTATCGTACGGTTCATTGTAACTTTGCGGGACGCGATGTTTCGGAGAGTGCGTGCACAGCCTTGAATAAATTTCGGCTTCATCATGTTTGTAATAATAATATCCAAGCTGGTAGATGTATTTTATTGAAATAAATGATTTGGTACTTAGTAAGGATGCTAGATCACAGAGGAAGATAAAGATTTATAAGTACGATGGTTTGCTTAAATTGGATATGTAACAGCTAAACAGGATACCATCATACCCAGACGTCCAATCAATGGATTGGAAATTGATTTCGACGGTTTCTCCAAGTACAACCAAAAAATTCCTGATGTTCAGGATGGAATAATTGCAAATATATAACTAAGAACGAAAATAGTCCGATAAAAATAATATTCCTAATTGGTAGTAGTAATGTCCGTTTTCATCCAATAATTTCGATCTAAATAGATTCCCAAGTAAAACTAGCATTTTCCTGAAATTGCTACATTAAAGTAATTATTAAATAAATTATCAGCATTAAAGAAATTCTTGAAAAAAATATAAGGAATCAATAACAAAGCAATGTATGATATTTTCCATTTTGCTTAAAAAGGATTGAACGGTTTCTAAACGACTTGGATCTATAATTTGTATCCACTTCGTCGATTCTTGAATAAAGTTTTGATTGACAAAAAAAAAAAAACTTCGTCGACTATATAATAATAAAATAATAAAATAAAGAATTTTCCTGACAATCCAATAAGTATCAAAATCACAATTAAAGCAGATATTATTCAAAATAATAATATTCTATATATTTTAGTCGAATTGAATCAAACAATGCTTAAAGGGTTTTAACTTCATTGGCAGTATAATGTAAGAAAATCACTATATTTTTTCCTCATTAACAGAATTATTTATAATTAATATATTTGAAACTGATCTTGTTTAAATATTCGTAATGCTAATTAATTTAATTTATTATTATTATTGTAAATTATTCTGAAATTTCATATTTTATTTTTTCTGCCTTCTCTACCTTTTTCTATGTATTTCTTGTGTTTGAGTAAACCTTTGACCAGTCACTCACAAATTATATGTATTTTACGGCTCCTTCTCTCGGTTAGTTTTATTATGTAATTTAATTCCACTTTTTTATTAGAATTGCGATTTTTTTATATTCAAAGTTTATTGGCTGCGGTGAATGTGTGGCCGGTTTAGCCCGCATTACAAGACATAATATCCAAGTTCAAATTTCGTAATTGTTTCCGATGGATAAAAATAATTATGGTTGAAAAAATTTGTTTATTACGTTTTAAGCGATATTCAACATTCAATGTTATTTTTATGAAATATCGGCTGTGTAATATTTTTTATTAAAATGAAAAACAGTTAAAATATTTACAATAATGAATTAAATTATCACATCTGAAAAATAACTATTTTTATTTTATTCAAACACTTTTTGTCGGTTGTTTGCACGGCAATGATCTGTATTTATTTCATTTTTCAAGTATTTCTTCAACTGTTATTTTTATAAGATGCAAATGTATGTGCAAGTATGTAAACCGCAATTTTCGTGTGAGATGACGTCAAAAATTAACAGTTTTCAAGGTGCGAAAATAATATAAGACAACCGGGGCTTGTCAGTTGTCCTCACATTGTGCCTTCTTTATTATATATTCATTTCAAGTATTTACATTCTTGGCCGTAAAGAATTTTTACAGTAAGACAAATGCAGCAAACAAGAGACTCATATAGATTGTCCTTATTTGCATGGCATTCGCAATTTAAAGCTTCATTCACACTTCGATTCACGATTATTCAAATGAGGAAGTAATTTGAAGTAACTTTTTAATTAAATTAATTAAAAAAACGATAATTTTTCAGTCTTGTCATCAAATTCAAGCATTAAAGGGAGCGTACCTGAGATATAAATAGTTTATGAACTTAAATTATTTTTTATAATTTAACCACTTTTCATATGCCTTTAATATTTTGAGATGTTCAGTTTAACTATCAAATCTTTCACTATGCAAAATTTCATAAAAATCCTAAAAGAGTACACCTGAGATTCTCCTTGTAAAACT